GCATTTGAGATATCCTCCGAGGATGATGAATGTTCATCGGCATCTCCATCTTCAATGTCGTCAGGAGCGTCCCAGTCATGTCTTCGCTCTCGGCTCATTAGTTTTTTGCCTTTATCTATACATAACAAAGTTTTATTCCAGTCAAGGTTATTCGAAGAAGGTGATTTAACCAAATTATGCCAGATAGTGTTTGGGGATCTACCGAAATGTGCTTCGAAAGGAGAGCAGTTAAGCGACTGTTGAGTTACTGTTCTTAAGCATTTTATTATTTTCAGGAGTGCAGATTCTAAAGAAGGTTTTGGGCGTTCTTGTGCCATCACCAGGAGTCGTTCCTTAATAGTCCTGATTAGACGTTCCACTAATCCGGTAGCTCTGTGATCACCCACTGGGCTAAATATCACCTTTATGTTGTGATCGTGGCAAAATTCTCTAACTTCCTTGGAGATAAAACCAGATCCTTGATCTGTTCTAATTGTCCTAGGTATCCCGTGTAAAGCGATATATCGACTAAGGAAGTTAATTATAGATTTAGCCGATGTACTGGATGTTATTTGGGCTGATGGGAATTTTGAAAATCTGTCTACACACACCAATATGTATTTTTTTGTTCCCCATACTAAAGGTAACGGGCCAGCGAAATCTAATTCCATTTCTTGGTTTGGTTCTTCGACCATTGGGAGTTTCCCTAGGGTATTGTGTTTTATAAGAGGCTTCAGATTTTTACCTGCTTTTACGCACTCTATACAGTTTTCACCGTGGACTTGGATTTCGCGGTAAATTTTCGGCCACCAGATGTATTGTGTTGCCAGGCTTTTCATTGCGAACTGGCCGGGGTGAGCTTCATGTAGTCTGTTCAGCATAGTCGATCTTAGGCATGCTGGGATTACTAAACGGTTGTCCAAATAGAGGCATCCTCCGCTGACATGTAGATTATTCAAATATGACTTATAATAGTTTCCGAGTTGTAGGATATCCTGTTTTCTATCTTCCTCGATTGCCTTGATTATCTTTTTCAGAATTAGGTCTTGTTTCGATAAGAGGGACATAAATTTAGTGTCAAATATTTCCGGCCAAGAGAAAGGGAATAAGTTAACTGTTTTCTTCTTGCTAGGTGATCGATTCTCGGGTTTTTCCGACGGGTTACTAGTGTTTGGTGTTAAAACGTCCGTGTTTTCTTTAATAGAGAGTTCTTTTTGTTGGTTAAATTCAGTTTGTTCTGCCATTTCTTTCAGGATTTTAAAATTCGTAAAAAAGTCGTTAATTTTGCAGGATGAATCACACAGTTCTGTACGCGAGTGAGAATTTTGACACACTGAAATGTTTGAATGGTTAGATATCGCTTGGAAAATTTCGGCGGCATTAGCAATTCGTTTCTCACGTTCTATTTCTTGACTGGTCATATGATCTGTTGGCTGGCCAATCGCATTACAAGAAGTGACGTCATCTGTTAAGAAATGTTGAGAGAATTTATTTCTTATTTGCGCCCACGAATTTTTTGGCATAAGGTGATGAAAGCCTAATAGTGTACTAATCTGGTTTACAGATGCGATAACGAACTTCTCGTCATCCAGGGAAACTGGTACGGGTTCACCCGATGGGTGTCGGGATATATAGTCGACAAATCCCATATCTTTACCGGGTAAATGTTCTACAGTAAAGTCGAACGGTAATAGTTTATCCGCCCAACGGGTGAGACGTGATTGGGCCGTTTTAGTGTATTTATCGTCCTTCAGTGCTCCTATTAAGGCTTTGTGATCTGTTAAAATTGAGAATTGTTTACCCAGTAGATAATTTTTGAAATGATCTAGTGCCCAGACTAATCCCAGTAGTTCGAGTTCGTTAGTGCTGTATTTCAGTTCGGCGATATTCAAAAATCTGCTAGCGAACGCTACTGTCTTCCAATTCCCCCAATGGTCTTGTTCGATTGACGCGCCCAATCCTAAATGTGAGGCATCACATTTCACCCGAGTGTTCAGTTTTACATCGAAATGGTGGTTTGTCACAGTATTACAAATTTCGTTCTTGATTTTTTCAAACGCTTCCGTATGTACAGTGGACCACTTAAATGGTTTATTCTTTTGCATGAGTTCTCTGAAGGGTGTTGATAAGGACGCTAAGTTTGGTATGAACTTATTAAATTGGTTAATCGATCCCATTAAGGATCTGATGTCCTTAATACAGTTTGGTTCTTTTAAATTTCTGATTGCGTCAGATTTATGTATCAATGGTGTCGTCCCTTTTGCGTCAATTCTAAATCCCAACCATTCTATGTTATGAGTTAAAAATGTGCATTTTTCCCATTTTATGGCAAGTCCCTCGTCGTCTAGCGTTTTTAACACATTAATGACTAGCTTTTTGTGTTCTTCCTCGCTACCTACGGTGGCGATTAGGATGTCGTCAAGATAACAATGAGTATTTGGTAGTTTTTCCGTCAAACGGTCCATTATACGTTGGAATTCATTGGGCATGTCGCCTAGTCCATAGAATCCGGTTTTAAAACGGTATGAACCCGTTACTTCTCCCCCCACAATGTTAAAATTACACTGATTGCTTGCCTTTTTCGAAAGCGGAATTTGGCTGTAGGCGTATTTTAGATCTATCGATGAGAACCAGATGTTTCTTTGATCATGGCCGCTAATAGTGACTGCGACGTTGTCAATTAGTTCGAATAGATTTGGCATTTGATATCTATTACGAAATATTTGTTTATTTAGTAGTTTTGAGTTCAACGCTAGTTTAATTGATCCATCCCTTTTTGCTGTAATCACGATGGGGGAAATAAAACAATCTTCAGAGCATCTAGATAGTTTTTCAATGTGTCCGTCACTCAATAATTGGTCGATGCATAGTTTGACTTTGGGGAGAAGATGGATTGGGATACGTTTCCCTTTCACCTGTATCGGTTTTATCGGCTCGTTAAAATAAGTATTAACTACGTAGTTTTTTGATCTACCAGTTCTTTTTATAAGGTCTGAAAAGTGCTTTGATATGTATGATTTAAACTCACGTTGGGATGGTGTCTCTTGATTTTGATCCTGTTGGATGTCGGATGCGAACTTTATCTGGTTGACGTTTGTCCCGATGGGTGGTACTTTCTGGTTTTCCCGTGACTTTGACCCGTTGGGTGGAGGTTGTTTTTGAAATACTACAATACCCAAATTCGGTAGGATGTCGTTTCCTAGTAGATTTCTTTCCGCCCCTTCTGTGATAAAGAGTTTTTGATCATTAGCCTCCCATCCTTTCGATTGGATTTTCACTCGAACTTTTCCAATAATATTGATCGTACTCCCGAAACCCTGGTATGCTTTCTTTGTTATCTCGTCCACCGGTTCTAGCTTTACGAATCTGTCTCGTATCTTCAGTTCATGTAGTAGGTCTTTCTTCATGAAAGAAACTGGGCTTGCAGAGTCAATTTGAATCTCGGTATAGTAGGGGTTGAATTTTCCCAGAGCTACTTTTAGTGTCTTTTTCAGTTCTAATCCTTCGTGATTGAATACGGTTCTCACTCCGCGCTCTATTCTGTCTTCTACGGCATTTATTTGATTATTTGTGTCGATGGCTAGAACTAAGAAGTCGTCTAGGTTAACCTCAAATTCGGGGTTTTCCTGCGGGTTGGCCCGGACATTTTCGTTTTCTTGGGGTACCCGATTCTGATCGACGATGTTAGTTTGAGTTTTAGCTGAACTCCTGCAGTGTTTAGCCAAATGTCCTTTCCGTCCACACGTATTGCAGTTTCTATCTCTAGCCGGGCATGTGGATAGGTGTCCTTTTTTGAATTGCTGGCCGCAATTACGGCACTTGTTATTTTCGACTATGTTTAATGTTGGTTCGTTCTTCACATATTGTGATCTTGGTCCTGGGTTGTAAGTTGGGAATTTTAGGTACTGTTGATGGATTTTAGTACCTTTTTCGTGAACTAGTACATAAGATAGTACGTTTTCTGGGGTCAAGTATTCAATGCATAGTTTCTTTTGGATCTCGACATTTCTCATGTTGGTTATAAAAATATCTCTTACTAGTTCTGACTCGAGTTCCCCCAGTTTACAATTTTTTGCTAGTTCTGAAAGAATTTCATGGAATTTTTCTAAGGACTCATGTTCTTTCTGTCTTCGGCCGAAGAATTTGAATCTTTCGTATGTTAGGTTTGTAGTGATCGTGAAAGTCGTTTTTAATAGTTCCCAAAATTCTGCGAAATTGATATCCAGTATTTTTTTTCCAGGATTTTTATGAGAGAAGCATTTCTGTCCTTCTTTCCCGAGTGCTAGGTATAGCTGTGATTTGAGCTTCTTGTCAATATCTCCTATTTTAAGTCCGTTGAATTTGGCGTTATCTTCCGCCCTTCTCCTTCTTAATTCTTCGTTGTAATTTTGTACTGCTACTCTATGACGTTCCTCTTGTTCGGCCCGACGGGTCTGATCCTCGGATGTGTCCAATGGTTCTGCCATAGGGTAAATTAGTTCATCTCTTATCGGTGGGTTAATTACATCTTCGATGTCTACGGAATCTTTCGCAATAATTGTCAGTTGGAATTTTTCCGCCCACCTTTCCCAGTCATGTTGATTTTCATTTGATGAGTTGTTCCAGAAAAACTCTAATCCGCGTAGGTTTGATTCATTAGACTGCGCCATGTTAAAAATTTAGGATACCACTCGTGTTGTAAAAGAGTGACTTAAACTAGGAATAGATTAAGACGGTGGATGATTAAGATTCCTACTAAAATTGTAGGCTTTTATTTAAAACTAAATAAAAGACGGGGATTCTAACTAAGATAAAATACGTGTTAAAAGATTGAATTGGTTACGTTTGTTTTGTTACGTATCATAAAAGATAGTGTCCAATTCAGAGTCTACCAAAAGCCGATGCGCTTTTGGCAGGTATATAAATTAACAACTAAAGGTCGGCGGTAAGTTAAGATCAGAGGTTAAATAGACAAACCATAATACTTTTACAAAAAAGAACTTAAAAAGAGTTGAGTAGAGAATGCGGTTCGTGGTACTAACTTGTGTGATCTGATCTACCAATTTGACCATACTCATAGCAAAAAAGTTCTCCAGCAATTCGGGATCAGGAGGCGCATCCGTAGATATTGAAAAGTAGGAGCCCATTTTCAATTCAGATCAGACAGGTGACACCAGGAGTACTATATTGAATAACAGGTATCTCAATTTTTTCCAATTTTTTTTATTCTGTAATAATTTTATTGATATTTTTCATCCTTAAAACCTTGGGAAAAAACAATTTTTGTTGAACTTTAAAACTTTGATGGTGCTCGAAAAAGTAATAGCTGAGTTACAATACCTATTTTTTTTTATTTATAAGCTAACTTTTTTCTTTTTTAGAAGCGCTACACTTAGGGATGTTAAATTGGAATCAATTTGAATACCTGTAATTAAAGCCTACTTCAGTATTTTTTGTGCAGGCTGAAAAACTATGCGGTAGAATTAGAATAATTTATTTCCCCGATGTATAACACTTGATATTAATTATATCAAAAATGACGAATCCTAGGAAACTATGGCAAAAATAGGAGACAAATATGGGTGTGACAGGAAATTGTAGTTAATGAAGAAATAGAGATTATTTTACGTGTTTGTAAAGTATAGTTACAGAGGCCCTAAAGCAGTAAAAAAAAATGGGGCATTTTACGTTTTTTCTGAATAAAAAAAAATTCTTTTTAATTTTGTTTCCTGTTTCTGGGATAAAATAGTAACATCAAAGACTCATAATTTACTTTTAATTAGATTTGAAAAACGTATAGTTTTTCTCTATTAATTTGATATTAAGCCCAATATGAACAAAAAAACGAACCAATCATCAGGTTAAAGTTTTTATGGAAGGCAAGCAAATTAGGCGATCAGAAAACAACGTAACTAAGACAATAAGTTGCGTGCACTTTGCGTGAAATTTGCTTACAGACCTAAATTGAGTTTTGGTAGAGTAAAGACTGGTCGTCTAACGACAAATTCAGGTTAATAATGTCACAGTTGTATAATTCATGCGTTCCAAAATTGTAATTACTTTTTCGATTTAATGTTTTATTATTAGTCACAATAAAATTTTTGATCAATTCCAAGATCATATAAAATTTTCCTTCCGATTTTCATAACGAAAATAAAGAAATATTTGTGCTCGGGGTTGTTTTTTTTCATCGGACTAGTTTTGACTTTTTAACTAGCCATTTTTGACTAACTTTTTTATATCATTCAAAAACTATGGTTGTCTTGAGCTTCAATTTAAAAATATAACTCGCCTGTGATAGTTTTTTGTAACGTTATGGTAGTTTAAAGATTGCCATTTTGGCAAATTTGGGACATTTAGCTCGCGATATATTTCGCGCCATAATACGAAGCCAAACTGTGCACTGGACAAGCGCACGATTTGGTGCTTGTTTGTCTCTGCAATCAAGATAAAAATCTTTACTATTGTTAAAATTTTGTCGGAATGATCAAAGAGAGTGAAAGAACAAAAGAAAGAACAAAGAGGGCTGCTTTGATGGGGAGTCCGCTTACAACTCACAAATACACAGTTTGGCTTTGTAATATGTTAACGCGTAAGTGGAGGTTTAATCCGTCCTAGAAATTGTTCCAAATTGGTTGGAGGAAGCTTTTTTGCCATAAATGGTTTGTTACTATGAGCAAAATTTATCACATTTTATTTTTTTCCAAAAATATCAAATTTATATAGAAAAATTTCATTTCATTGTATTACATTTCTTTTTTCTTCATGTTATTACTACTGCATAGAACTTAAAAGGCAGTCGGAACAATCAGAGCTTCGCCCTGATACCAGCAGTCTTGTTGTTTTTGTGTGGTTCCTTCTTAAACAGAATCAGTTGTTGTCGCAGTTCTTATCGTCTAAATTCGCAAAAAGAATTATCGTCCAAGTTCCGTTTTTTTTACGTTCATCAAGTTTGCTCTTATTATCTAGGGGCAGCTTTTTTATATCTAAACTCATAACAAGTTTCTGACTATGCTATATAAACTCTCGAATTACACAGAAAGACCATTAGATATATGGCAAATTATCTCAGCTCCAAAAATAAGTTTTAGATTCATGGAAAATTTTACAGAAACATCTTCACACATTCCTTGCAACTGTCAGAAACCATCAAATAATTCAAAAACGTCAACAATTTTGACCAGATCATTTAAGCAGGACAATAAAGAGGGCCCCTTAAGCTAATTTAAGGAAACTTTTCTTGTAAAATAAAAAAACTTTCCATATTGCCAAGCACACATCATTTCAACAAAATTGATGTGCTTTTCCCAAGAAAATGGAAGCAAACAAGACTGCTCGTATCAGGGTAGAGTCTTGAATGCTCCGACTGCCTTTTAAGGTCTATGGAGCAGTAATAACAAGATTAAAGTAAATGTAATAAAATAAGTATTTTTTTTTATTTAACATGAGATTTTTCTGAAAGTCCCTCACACGCCGTATAAAGTACAAAGTGATAGATTTTGCTCCTAGTAACATATCAATTACGACAAAAAAGCTTCCATCAACCAATTTGGAACTATTTCTATGACTTATCAAATCTCCGCTTGGTCGTTAACAGCCCGAAATATATCGCGCTTTAGTTCTCCGAAATGAGCTAAAATGGCAATCCTTAAACCTCTATAATTTTGCCAAAAAATACTCACAGGTTAATTATATTTTTAAATTTAATCTTAGGACAACAATATTTTTTGAATGAACAAAAAATTTCCGCTAAAAATGGCTAGTTAAAAAGTTGAAATTTATCTAAGAAAAAAATTACCCCGAGCACAAATAATCCGTTTTTTTCGTTACGAAATTCGTAACAAACACTACTTTTTTTGATAATTGAGCCGTCCTATTTGTGTAAAAACAAAAAGCATAAATAATTTTCCTAATACTTGAGCAATAAATTATCAGAGAAATTAAAAATTCTCGCATAATTTCAACTTGAAAGAATGTGAATCATCCAAACTCAACCCTTAAGCTCATTGGATTGAGCAAAGTTCTTAACAAGTTCTTAGTTACAGTAAGAGAATCAATTCAACTCGAATCTGAAGTTATGAAAAGTCCGAAATTGTGCTGTAATTGGTATTAAGCCAATACATATCGAAGCAAATTTACAAAATATATTAAAAGTCAAAATAGAGGAATAAAAATTGTTCCCTTTTTTGTGCCTCTTATTTTTTGATATGACTCGATGTAAAATACTAATTGGAATATTATAATTAGTTGTTTTTCTTGAAAAACTTAAGTAAGGGCTTTGTGTAAGCGCAAAAAAAATCTGCAACAACTCTAGATAATACTGTAACAACTCTAGAGATAAGACTATAATTTGATTATCATTGCTACATTTCTCATTCGTGAAACTAACGCGTAAAGCGAGATTTAGTCCGTCCGTATTAGAAATTGTTCCAAATTGAGTTGAAGCCTGCTTTTTGGTGTATTCAATACTTTGCTATAAGCAAAATATATCACTTTGTACTTTACATAGCGTGTTGGGGTTGATCCTCAAAAAAAGCATTATAAAACAAATTTCATAAATTGTATTATTTTAAATTACTCCATAGAAATCAAAACGCAGTTGAAACATTCAAAGCTTCACCCTTGTACGAGCAGTCTTGATCTTTTTTTTTCGTTCCATTTTTTTGAACGTTCCGATAACAAAAATACACATGGCTTATTTGGAAGACTTAATTCTGGAATCCAGAGACCTACATGCACCAAACTGTGTGCATATCCAGTGCACAGTTTGGCCTCATTTTGTTTAATAAAACAATTTGTAACGGACAAACTCCAAGAAGATTCGGTCAATTTGGCAATCTTTAAAATGCAAAATCTTAGGGAAAAAGATCACAGGTGACTAATTTGAACTCCAGACAACAAAACCTTTTGCGTAAGAAACCGCAGAGAAAAAAATTACCGTCAAAATTGCTAGTTGACAAGTCTACATTTGTCTCGAGAAAAAAACTCCGAACACAAATATTCAATCACTTTCTTGTGAGACTGAGACAAAAAGAAAGTAGCGGGAAAATGATCTCTAACAGTGGCTTTTTACACATGGCCTACTTGGAAGCCTCGATGACTTCAAATACATTTTTCCATGTTTGTAGATAAGATTAGATTTTTTTGAGATAAAATTTGATGATAAAAAACTTTAGTTTTTTCAAGTATTAGAATAATTATCAGGTTCTCCCGTGAGTTAAGATAGCTGGTCTTGCTTACTATAGCACGAAACAGCATCAATTTTTTCCCCTTTATTTCCCTTTATTTCTCCGCAAACAATTGTTCATGCATTCATGGAAAGAAGAAATTTTCTCATTCTAAAATGTGGAGTAGTTTTCCGTTCCATTAGAAGAATTTTCTTATTTTTAGAGACTTTGTTTTAGACAGGTATATTTTGAATTTTTATTGTTAATCAATATGGAATAATTTCACTCCTGTAGCAGATTTTGGTTCAATTTCTACCTTTATTAAGTATTTTATCTCTGTTACGTATTTTATCATGCTTAAGGCTTCAGGAATTATTTTCTGTCAGTTCTTCGGTAATTTGTTTGTAAGCAAGTGGACATGTTTCTTGATCTTTGATTTGCGAGATCTATTAATTGGTCTTAGTTTTTTTCAATAAACTGGTTCAGAATAGATTATCACTATGCTGAAGCGAACCAAAATTTTGATGAATCAGAGCTGAAACTAACAATTGATTGAGAAAACGTAACTTTACAACAGTTTAGAGAAAGTTTCATAAAAATTTAGAACTTACATGTGTGCCTCTGTGTTTGCACTTGACAACATCACAAATTTCTTCATTAATTTTCATTATAATCAAAACCTTTGCGTGGTGCGATGAAAAGATCTGACCAAAAACTAGAGATTAGACATATCCAACAGTCAAAGTACAATAAGCAAACTCTTCTGAGAAAGTAAATTCTTCATTTCTTTGCTCTTCTGCTTTCTATGTCTCAGTCACAGTTGGTTTTTTGAAGTTGAAGGTTGAGCTAAGGAAAGAGGTTGAGCTAAGTTTGAGCTAAGCTATGTTTGGCATTTCGAGTAAAGGACTGGTTATCTTATCATTCTGTTGCTAAGATTCTAGAAACCTCAGAAACTTAGAAACCAAAGAAGAAGAATTAGTTTATCTAAGTTACAGAGTATATTTTCAAACATTTTTCTAATTAGAATAACTGCACTGAACTTTGAAAGGATAGGTAACAAGATCAGCTGATCTGATTCAAACCTACCCTGTTAAAGATCACATGGGTTTCTATGCCGTATTGAAAAAACTTGCTATTACATTGAAAAACTTGCTGTACATTTGGGTCAAGGGAGTTATAAAGAAAAAAAACAGACTTTCAACAGTTTTGCATTTACTTCTTCTTGTGCTAGCTTTATTTTGTTATATGCGTTCTCTAGAAGAATGCCCTTTTGACGACGAGTTCCTTTGCAGTGAGTGGCTCTTACGGTACAATGTAGGAGAAGGAAAAGTTACCGTTCCACTTTTTGTTTGCTGCCTCATTATTTTTTACCTGTTTTTAGCAGTATTCTGCTTCAAGCTTGTCAATCGTGGGTTTATTATAATTTTATGTGGTGCGGCAATACACATGTGGTTTGCCGATGCCGCGGTAACATTTA